TTGAACTGAATAGTAATGATGCATCATAAAAGAATGACTAAAGTCATTCTTAGAAGGAACTTTATAGCTTAAATGTAAATGCTGGAAAAAGAAAGACTGTTCTCAAGAAGAGAAGAAAAAGAAATTAAGCCTAATCAAGAAATAATAGGGCTTCCCTGGTGGCGCAGTGGTTGAGAGTCAGCCTGCTGATACAGGGGACATGGGTTCATGCCCCAGTCCAGGAGGATCCCGCATGCCATGGAGCGGCTGGGCCCGTGGGCCATGGCCGCTGAGCCTGCGTGTCCGGAGCCTGTGCTCCGTGGCGGGAGAGGCCACAACAGTGAGAGGCCCGTGTACCGCAAAAAAAAAAAAAGAAAAAGAAAAAGAAATAATAATATGAAGTAGACATTAATAAAATAGAAAAACAATTTTGCATTAAATGAACAAAGTTGGCCCATCATAAAGAACATTCGAATTAGATCAGTAAAGTAAAGATGAGTCCTGGCAAGACTGATCAAGAATAAAAGGAAAATAGGCCCAAATCACCTATATTAGGAATGAAAAAGGGGACATCATAGCAGAGTCTAAAGACTTTTTTAAAAGATTAATTTTGAATAATTTTATGTAATTTAAAAATTTAGGTGAAATGGACAGATTTCTAGAAAAATACAACAGTGTTGAAATAAATAGAAAATCTCAATTGCCCTGTCTGAATAAAGAAATTAAATCATTAAATAAAAATCTTTTCACAAAGAAAACTGTAGCTCCAGAAGGCATCACCAGTAAATATTCAACCAAATATTTAGTAACACAATACCAAATAATTTACACAATATTAGCAAGCCAAACCCAGCAGTATGCAAAAAAGGAGTTAAAAAATGGCCAGGCTGGATTTTTTCAAATGCAATTTTGGTTTTACTTTGAAAATCACTTATTATAATTTTTTTATTATCTGAGTAAAGTATTATCTGAGTAATTATTATCTGAGTAAAACCATCTCAGTAGATGTGGAAAAGCATTTGATAAAACTCAATCTCTATGTATGATTTTTTTAAGAAAAGCTAGAAATAGAAACCTATTTCAGACATATTGGTAAAATATTCAAAGCTCTTCCTCTCTGATCAGGGACAAGACAAGGATAACTATATTAGAGGTCTTAGCCAGTGTGGTAATGCAGGGAAAATAACTCAAAGAATAAGGATTGAAAATAAAGAAATAAAATTATAATGTTCTAGAAGACATGATTTTATATGCTGAAAATTCCAAAAGTTGTACTAACAAACCATTAAAATCAATAATTAAGTTTCACAAGGTGGTTGGATATAAGGTAAATATAGAAAAACCAGTTATTTATCAGCAACAAATAAAGCTGAATTTTAAAATAATGTTTACAACAGATCAAAGTACATAGAAATAAACCTTACAAAATTACTTCTCTACAATGAAAATTATGAAACATTACTGAGCAAAATTAAAGAAGACCTAATGAGTCGATGGTTAGGGAGTCACCAAACTTTTTCTGTAAAAAGCCAGGTAGCAAATATTTTCAGCTTTGTGGGCCAAAATGGTCACTGTGGAACTACTCATCTCTGCTGTTTTGGGTGCAAAAACAGCCATAGGTGACACGTAAATGAATGGGAATAACTGTGTTCCAGTAAAATGTTATTTACAAAAATAGATGATGAGCGAGATTTAGCCTATGGATCATAGTTAGCCCACTCCTGATCTAGGTGCTGGTTAATTAATGTCTACCAACATCATAAAAAGAGGGGCAACTAGATATTATTTGCATCTTGTTTAGAATATATCTCACAGTCCCTATGAAGTAGTCTTACTAAAAATTGCAAGAATAAAAAGATTGATGGTGAATTTTCAGTTAAAAGACACTTAAAAAAAAGACACTTGAGACTTATCAGTCATTTGCAGTGTATGGGCTTTATTTGGATCTATATTAAAAATGATTTTCATTAATTTAATTTTAATGTAATGAATATTCAAAATATATTAAGGGATTAGTTTTAATATTTTAGGTGTGATAATGTTTTTATGGTTATGTTTGAGTCCTTGTTTCTGAAGAAATATATCTTGAAATATTTGTATAGAATATCACAAGTAGGATTTGTTTGTTATACGTTAACACCTGTGATTTCATAGTTGTGTTATACTTCTCTACTAGTCTCTCTGTCTTTACCACTGGGTGTTCTCATCCTGATTCCAGGGACTGGGTCTAATTCACCTGTGTATTTCTAGCGCTAAGCATAGATGCTCAGTAAGTGCTGCCAAAGTGAATGTAGCTAACTCCTCAAAAATAGTAAATGTGTCTTTTAGGCCCAGTGTTATCAAATTGATTTAAAATACTAGATTTCTTTAGAAATTACTTTCTGTTTCCAAGGGGGGAGCAGTCATATGCCAATACAAAGAGTAGACTATGTTAGGTTTATCAGGTATATTTCATAGCTTTAGTCAAAATGCTCTCTAATATTCACAGCAAAATGAACAAATGGAAATTATATTTATTTTTATTTAGCATAAACATATTTCCCTAACTAAGTAAAAAAAACTTGACCTTCATTGTGGCCATGAATTAATAGAATCCAAGCACAGATTTCAACATTATAATTCACTTAGGAAAAAAACACTTTAGCTATCACCTCTAATTCTGAAACATAACTGTGATTTCTGAATATTCACCTTCCTGTCTTATTTCACGTGTATATCTTAACGGTTATAATAACTAGGTAAAACTTTGTATCCTGTTTTTTCTAAGCCTGTTTCTTCCTATTACAGTCTTAATAGCCATCATTTTAAATGATTAATTTCAACACAAACATTTTTAATGAAGGTAGGATACTTTATATAAACAAATATAAAGGAGTTGCTACATATGAACAAGTAATATACATATGATTATGACACATACATAAATATGATAATTATTTTTCTCTGCTGTGATGCTGTTGTATTCAAGCTTTAATCATTCATACAGTCTGGTTCTTTCAAATAAAAATTGTTTGAGAACAAACTCATATATTCCTTAAAAGAACTGCTTTTTAATACACTACTTTTGGAAACAGTAAAATATCTTATAAATACAGTAGTAGTATTCTGAGTAATGTTAATGAGGGTTTTAGCAATGTAAGATACTGTTGGAGAAAAGAAGAAAAATGAGAAATATTCTGAATCCCAGTAAAGAATGGGTTTTGAAATAATCTTGATTTTTTTTAAATTTTATTGGAGTATAGTTGATTTACAGTGTTGTGTTAGTTTCGGGTGTACATTAAAGTGATTCAGTTATACCTATACATATATCCATTCTTTATTAGATTCTTTTATCATATAGGTTATCACAGAATATTGAGTAGAGTGCCCTTGTTTTAGGTCCTTGTTGGTTATCTGTCTTACATACGATAGTGAAATAGTGAACTGATGTTTTGTTTTCATTGTTGACAGTGAGTTTCTGACAGTTAAATCACCAGATTCTTTCTAGGAAAATATCTATTAGTTTTATGAAGATTCTCATTTTTTAAAAACTATGCTTACTTAGAAAATATATACCTCAATATAAATCATAATGAGGGATTTTATTTTTTGTTATTTTATCCTGTTTCTTTATCCCATTACCTGCTGTATTGTTAGTTAGTCATTCCCCCCGCCTCCCCCCAGCCAATAAAATGAGACCTGTAGGTACCTCAGTTTTGGCAACCTACCGATGATTAGTAACTAACTTGATATAATATTATTTTAGGATTCTTACTCACATATTGACTCCCAGAGCAGAAATTTCTGATTAATAAGAATATTTGATTCCTAGCTTTACAGCTTCAAGTGATCTTAGAAATGATGTAATATCCTTTGCTTCCTTCGTAACTTCAAATAAGCATAAAGCAAAATCCTTCAAATAAAGTATAAAACAAATTTAATTAGTTCAGGGTTAAACAGTTGTATATTAGTTTGTAAAATGGGTTAAGTTAACACGGGAAGTGCATGCTGTTGGTTGTTTTAGAAACGTGAATGTAACAAGTATAATTAGGAGAATATATGTGACAAAGTATCATAAAAATTAGAATTGGATTGGATATTTAAATACTAGACAAACTGCATTTGAACTTTTTGAGCTAAAACAATTCCCTGCAAGTGAAAGACATATTTATGAGTCCCTTATTGAATTGATGCAAAGCGTGTGAGTACAACAGTCATTTGGAGCCTCCCTTTTGCCATATTTGTCTAATGTATCACATATCAGGCCGATTACTATTTTTAGAAACAGTGTTCATGGCTGAAATCCTACAGTTAACCTTTAGAAGATCAAAAGGAAATATACTTATTAATAAGGTGAACCTAATATATACATATTTTCTCTTTTTCTGCCTTATTGCTTGCATGTTTAACAGCTTTTTTTTTTTTTCATTTGTTGCATAGAATTACTGAGTATGTATTTAAAGGTCAAACAAAGTCATCTTAGGATGGAAAACTAACATATCAGTTACAGGGCATAGCTGGATATTTTGGCAACAGTAATTTGTAGTTATTGTTTTAAAAGATTTATTTTAACATGTAGAGTGATACTATAGCTGTTGCTAACTGAAATTGTATAAAACTTACAATTTTTAAAGGTTTTCTGCTTGAGATCAAGTACTAAAAGCTGAAAGTATGTCTGTATCTTTAATCAGAGCTGTATTTACACTTTACATTCACTTTCTCATCATAAATACTAAATGTATTCATTATTTATAGTATACCAAAGTATCTTCATAGAGTAGTAGAATGCCTTTCTAAACTGTCTGTTAATGTTTGTGTCATGATTATTCATATTCTGTTAAATATTAAAATTTCCAAAAATGTTCCTTTCTTTTTCAGCTATCCAATATCTATTATTTTATACTGATGGGTTTTAATAGTTACTAGTTTCTCACTGGAGATCTGTAGTTTTTTTCTAAAGCCTCTTTAGAGAAATGTATTCTTATTCAAAACAGTGAAATACATCAAGCTATAGCTGATACCAATTTGTTTTGTTTTTTTAGGTGGTTGAACAGGGTATGTTTGTAAAGCACTGCAAAGTAGAAGTATATCTCACAGAATTGAAGCTCTGTGAAAATGGAAACATGAACAATGTTGTAACTCGAAGATTTAGCAAAGCTGACACAATAGGTAATGCAAGATCCTGTTTCTTTGTTAAACCATTGCTATTAGAAATTTATTTAAAATTCTATTGTTATATGCTACTAAGATGATAACCATTTTAAGGGTTTATCCTTAGACATTACAGATTTCCAAGCATCATACAATATGTCTTATCTTAGAGTTGAATTATTTATCATTTTTAGGTCTACTTTACATTATTAAATGAGTTTAATATTTGTGCCATTTTACTTTTTTTAAAAAAACCAAATAATTGTTTTAATTTAGCATTTGAAAATATGTATCATGTTTGTAACATGACTATAAATTGAAGTAGAACTTTAAATAAAAACTTGGCTTAGGTAAAACTTTGTCAGGTAATGTAATATATATATCAATAATAATAATAATAATTTACCATTCTTAGCATGAAAAATGACTGTTTATTTTCTTTTTTCTCACAGTTTATTCTTTGGACTCTATAAATACAAAATTAAGTAGCTTACAGCAGCGGGCTTAGCATTAACATGACTCATTGATTTTTTTTTTTAATAATGAGTAGGTTACAGAATTATATATCAAATATAAGTGTGCCTAACTCCTTCTATGTATTTATATATCTTTATATATTTACATATCTACACATATAAATGTATATTTAAATACATGTAAATTTATAATTCTGTTTAAAAGCCACATGTTAATTTAAGATCAAGAATGTATTGAATAACAAAATAAAACTCATAGATTCAGAGAACAGATTGGTGGCTGCCAGATGGGAGGGGCTTGGGGGTTGGGTGAAATAGGGTGAAGGGGATTAAGAGGTATAAACTTGCAGTAAGTCATGAGGATATAATGTACAGCATGGTGACTACGGTCAATAATATTGAATTGCAAATTTGAAAGTTGCTAAGAAAGTAAATCTTAAAAGTTCTCATCACAAGGAAAAAGTTTTTCTAACTTTGTATGGTGACAGATGGTCACTTACTGTGGTGATCACTTAGTGATGTATACAAATGTTGAACCATTCTGTCATACACCCAGAACTAATAGAATGTTGTGTGTCAATTATACTTCAATTTAAAAAAAGAATATATTGAATAAAATGTTTTTTAAATAAATGATTATGCATTTAATAGCAGAATTGCAGTACTTTTTGATAAGACACAACTCAAAAACTATAAAAGGTTGTTATTTTCAAATAAAGTTTTTGGAACAGAAGATTAATGGCAGTAACATTGATCTTGTTGGAAAGTGCAAATGGACACTGGAGAAGGACATAACACTTAATGTAGAACTTAGAAACATTAGAAAATTTATGAATTATAGCACCTATAGCTTTTCTTGTTGGAACCAGTCATTAAGTACACTTTATTAAAAGTAAATAAAAATATTTCTGAATTTCTTAAGTACATTTGACTTTCACCACATAGCCATTTCACTGCAGGAAAATGCTTTTAACTCATAATTTTCATGAAATAGTACCATTCTTCAATTTCTAATGCTTGGTTAATCCTAATGTTTTTGCCAGACATTATGTATGGATTTTTTATTTTCCCTCTCTTTATTTACCTAGAACATTTGTAAGTTGAGATGCAATTTCAATAAACTCACACAGTCATCTTTCTAAAATGAATGCTTAAAATGTCAGGAACTCCATATAAATGTCATTTTATTACATTATTATGTATAAAGTATTATTATGGATAAAGTACTTAGCTTTTTCAGTTCTAGATTTTTGGAACATATTCAGGAAAATAAAACATTTCTATATCCTAAGAACTGAAAGTTTTAAATGTATAAAATTACATTAATCATGATATTAAACATATGTACACAATAAGAATCTTTAAGAATCTGTAAGTCTGTCCAACAAAGATGACCTATTAAAATTAATTCAGAGACTAACTTCTGAAATGTTCAGCCAATTGGAATATAAATAAGCTACCTCTTAAATGCTTGATGAAGATAATGTTTTCTAGTTATTTTAAAGTTTGGTATAAAGTTTGGTATTAAAGTTTCTTTGTTTCTTACCTCATTTCTATAGGAAAATTTTATATATATATATATATATGTAAAAGTTATATGAGACAATAAGAAACTTATTTTAGAACATTAGTTCACTGAAAAATATTTTAAAACTCATTATATGAAGATCTAAGGTTTAATTTCTGAACTCAAAACAAGCATTTTGGAGTTTTTACATTATGTACTAGGTAAGAATTATCAAGGAGATGATTTGTAAAGAATCTCTGCTTCAAAAAGTTTATGATTTACATAGATGTTAATAGCATAGCTTAAATTTACTAATACTTTGAAATGCTACATACATTGGCTATATGCCTTAAAATTGTATATGAATAAATTTTTTCATATAGCTAACATTTCTTATTAGAACAGTTTTTTCAAACTGTGTTGTCTATACTTTCGTGGTCATTAAGCAGTTTGTGGAGTAAAGAGAATGGAATGGAAAATACCAGAATAGAAAATATCAACATATATGTGTATAGTGGGTCACAGTTCCTTACTGTAGTTTTAAAAGTTTGAAAATCTATATTAGAGCAAGTTTGCTTTCTAAGCAAAAATTTTTGCAAAAATTAATCAAGTCAGGAATTTTAGAAACTTCATTGTTATGGTTATAATAGTTAGCAGTTATTGAATACTTACTATGCTTTAGGCACTTTACAGGAAATTTCTTATTTAAGCCTCAACATTACTGTACCCTTATCTTAAAGGTGATAAAGCCTAGGCTAAGAAAGGTTAAGTAACCTACATAGGTTTACCCTGGTATCAAGTGATAGAGCCAGTATTTTAACTCCTTAACACGGCCTCTTATACCAGAGTCTCACTTCTTAATTTGCTGCCTTATACAATCTGTGCAAATGTTAATTGGGTTGATTTTGTGTTTCTTTAGGAAGTGGGTTTTGAAACAAAGAATTTGATAAGAAAGGAAATACTAGATGTATATTTTTCCCTGTGTGTTTTTTCATCTTGATTAAAAAGGATCAAAATAGCTATTTACATGAAATACAGTATACAAATTCTGTAAATGGAATTAAGAAATATAAGTACCTGTTTTCTGTTTTTACCAAATTAATAAAATGTTCCATTTTAGCTACTAATGCCTACATTGATTTATAATAAAAAGGATAGTAGCCATAGGTAGGATCTAAATAATTTACCATGTTCAGAGCCAAAATACTTTGCCTTTTTAATATTTTTCTCACTAAATTGATATATTTGGGTATTGAACATGTGTCAATAAGAAAGATAAAACTTGTTTTTAGTTTTTCTTTAAAGATACCTCTGAAAAATAATTTTATTATAAAATTTGAAAAATGCTTTATGTTTATAAAATTTATTAATAGAACTGCTTAACTTTCTTATTAAATGTTCCTACTAGAAATGTTTGTCACAATAATTTTATTTCTGTTATCTGTGTTAATATTTTTTTATCTCTTTATGCTTTTCATTAACTGCCTGATAGAGTCGGATTAATATACAGAAAAATATACACATGTTCTCAATACCTTGACATTCTCAACTCCAGTGATCTTGATCTGCGTCCAGCCTCTACCACCAGTTCCCATAGATATACCCTAGACTGTCATTATCTACAACTGCACTTGCCAAATTTCAGTTTAAGCAAACTGCTTTCTGGCTACCACTTCCTCTGCTCCCGTTCTCTCTTGAACCCACTAAATCAGACCAACCACTTCCTTGGTTCTGCTTCTGTGATGGTCTCTAATTACTTCTTCATTGATACATCTAGTGGTCGAAGTCTTCCATTTCTTAATGTGCCAGCAAAAATTAACATACTTACTGACTTTTCCATCTAGAAATATTTTCTCTTCACATGGCTGCCAGGGCACAAGTTCTCACTGGCTGTATCTTCTCAGAGTCCTTTGTAACATCCTCTTCATATTTCTGATCTCAGAACATCAGTGTGATATGCTCAGTCCTTGGATCTTCTTTCTTTTCCTTGATGACTTCCTCTAGTCCCCTGGCTTTAAATACTTTTCTGTATATTGATGTCTTATATCTTCTACCCAGACTCTCCCTGAATTCCAGTTTCAACCATTCCATATCTTCACATGTGTCTGATGAGAATCTAAAGATAACATATATGAAACTAAACTCTCTCCCTTCCCCCTAAAACCTACTACTCTGTCATTTTTCCTCATCTGAGTAATCGTCACTTGCACTCTTCTGATTGCTCAGGCCAAAACCCTTGGTATCATTCTGATTCTCTTGTATTTCTCACCCTGCATATAATTTAGCAATGTGTCTTCTAAGCAGTGCCTTCAGAATCTATTCCCAGTCTGACCACTTAACATTGCTTCCACTGTTACCACCTTGGTTTGGATTTCTGCAGTAGCCTAGTCTCTCACCCTTGACATCCTGCAGTTTGTTTTCACCAGCAGCAAAAGTGAACATTTGAAGTGTCAGTTGGATCATACCAGTTCTCTGCTCAAAACTCCTAAATGACTTCCCTTCTTAATCAGATAAAATAGAATACTTGCATAACTGCCTCAATTCTGTATGATCCTACATGAGTACCTTTATGGTCTTATTTCCACCTTGCTCATTCCACTTCAGCCACATTGGTGCACCGTTCTCTTCTAAAACATGCCAAATACATTCCCATCTCAGGGTCTTTGCATTATCCTTTTCAAAACTCAATAAAGGGGGCATTTCCATATGTGTTGGTATATATTATATTATGTATATAAATATGTATGTATTAATAGAAAAAAATGCCTGGAAGAAGTATCAGAATGTTAACAGTGGTTATCTCTAGGTGGACATTTTATTTGTACTTGTATTTTCTGAATTTTTGGAATGAGCAAGATTTATTTCTTCAATCAGGAAAGAAGTATTCATTTTTGTAGAAAGACTAAAATGACCTCCCTTCCTCGGCTTCTTCCTCTGTTGTCCTTCCTATGTTATTTTCTGTTTCTTGATCTGGGTACTGCTTTACACGGGTGTATCCACTATGGAAATTTATCATTATATACTGACAATTTGTGCATTTTTCCGTATACATTTACACTTCAATAAAAAAAAATTAATGCCGCCAAAATAGAAAGCAGTACTTACAGTATATTTATATTTCTTTAATGTAATTTTTTAAATGTTCTGGCTAGTTTGCATTAAGTTTTGAAATACACAATACTACTTATTTAATGCCTTAATCAAACTGTCATTGACTATAAGACTATTAAAGAACATTAGCTGCTAAGTAGAACATAAACAGTGTTATTGGACTAAGTTTAATTATGTAGGATAGATATGGGTTTTTATATTTTTTAAGAGAACATGTATTTTTAGGTTTAGTATTTTACAAATAATGTTTTTTACAAAATTAATCAAGTATTCTAAAATTTAGAAGTATTTCATATTTCTTCATATGTCATAAAATATATTAAGTGTAATTTTCTTGAGTCTAAGTTAGGTAAGTTATTGATCAGAATTTGATAGATATAGTAGTATTTTCTAATATCTCTTTCTAATGTTTATGTACTTTAAAAGATTCATCTAAACATGGTACCGAAACTTAATTATTCTCAAACATGTAGACACTCGTATATCTTATTTTACAGCAGATTAAGCTGCTCCAGTTTTTTTAAAAAAAGACTTCTTCCGTTCAGATAACTGGTTTAGAAATAAAGAAAATATATGGCTTTACCTTGGAAACAAGAAATTTTGACCAATTCAGATCTCTCTTCAAAGAAGGCACTTTTCTTTGTGTCCCTATATTCTATTTAATTTTAGTTAGCTATTTAAACTGTAAATTGTGTTCAACTTAATATAAATTATTCTTAAATTGGTTATAACTTAAAATATTTTTTATCTGTGGCATCTCTGAGTCATACTTTAATTTCTAACTCCAACATATCATTAGAAAATATTTTGATTTTATAATGTGTAAAAAGTTAAAGTTCATCCTGTATAACATAAATTATATTTTAGTGTTATATGATTGAACTCTTACCTTTTGAGGTCTTAATTTCCCAAAGTAATCATCTGAGTTATAATTACCATTTTGTTCCTAAAAAGTATACCTGGTCTTAAAATTTTTCTTTATTGTTTTTATGTATTTCCTACATATTTGTTCATCTATTCTTGCTATTATATCAGTAATTTAAATTTAGGATTTTTATGTTAGTGAGCACTTAACTCTCTGTGGTATATTTTTAAATATTATATTTACTTATCTTTCCTCCTTAAATCTAGATACAATTGAAAAGGAAATAAGAAAAATCTTCAATATTCCAGATGAAAAGGAGACCAGATTGTGGAACAAATACATGAGTAATACATTTGAACCACTGAATAAACCAGACAGCACCATTCAGGATGCTGGTTTATACCAAGGACAGGTATTTTTTAGCAATACTGTTTATTTTAAGCATACTATACATGAAGTTTTTGGGAGTCACAAACTTTATGGCTATCCTGACAATCTATAATGGATTCTACTGTTTCTGGTTTCCTCTTTCTAACTCTTCTGTATCCCTGCTGGTCACTAAATATAACTTCTGCTTCTCTCCTTGAGCTTGAGAATAACCTACTTTTTAAAAAGAAATTATTTTCCATTGAAAAATAGCTAATAAGGGGTCAGCAAACTTTTTGTAAAGGATCAAATAAATATTTTTGGCTCAGTAGTCTGTAAGGTCTCTGTCACGACTACAACTTTGCCATTGTAGTAGCAAGAAAATAGCCATAAACAATATGTAAAAATATGGATATTTTTATTTACAAAAGCAGTCAGTGAGCTAAGTGAACTTAGTTTGCCAACCCCCGCTAGAAGGCATCAACCCCCAATTTGGTCTTTCTTTATGACAGAATCTAAAGAAATGAATGTGTTGAGAAATGAAGACTTTTAGACACAATCAGCAAGTTCTACTGATTCCACCTTCTAAAAATCTCTTTAATTCATCTTTGTATCCCATTCTCACCCCTTATCTTTCCATAATCTCTTAACAAATCCCTCTGCTTCCAGTCTTTTGCATGTTCGTTCTCAGTCTTCCGTATTTTTGTCAGAATACTCTTTCTAAAATGTAAACCTTATTATTTCCTTTTCATAAACCTTTCCTGGCTCCTTAACAATTGTGGAATAAAGTCTAGTCACCTTAATGCAGCATGCAAGTCATGGTTTATCCTTTTGCCTAGTCTTCCAGCATCTTTCGATTATCCTTGCCTTTGGATTTGCACTCTAATAATACCAAACTGAACTACTTATAGTTCCCTAAGCCTGCTATGCTTTTCCATACTCCTGTGCTTTCATATATGTTGTTCCATCTGCCTGTTGTACCATTCTCCCCGTCCCTGCATTCATCCAGAAAAAGTCCTTTTAAACATCCAAATATTGAAATTAAGCATCCCATCCTTTCATATAATCTAACCAGATCAGATTATTCATCCTTCAAATTCCAATTCAAACTTTGCACATCATTTCTTGGCCTTTCCTGATCTATTTATCTCAGTATCTAGTTGAGGTATAGGATTTGTTTTACTTTGGAGAAGAAATTTCTCCCTTAACTTCCATAGTGATTTACATATGTGTCTTGTATCATTCATTAAGTTATGTATATATTAAGCTCCCCAACTAGACTGTGAGGTCCTTTTTTTAGTTGGACTTTGTGTCCTATTTATTTTTATTTTAGTACCTAACCCAGAGCCTGCCACTCTAGTATATGGAAGTTTTTTGTTTTGTTTTGTTCTGTTTTATTTAAAATTGGTACTGATATATGATGTAAGTCATTAAAAAAACTCAGAGGAACAGAAGGAAATTAATTTTTTAGCAAATGCCTACTATATATGAAGTATTGTACTCTGCTATAAAACAGTGATTTTCAGACTTATTTTAGCCATTATATTCTTACGTGAAATCTTATGAAATCTAATAATATGTATTACAATTAAAAGGAGTTACCCAGGGCTTCCCTGGTGGCACAGTGGTTGAGAGTCCACCTGCCGATGCAGGGCACACGGGTTCGTGCCCCAGTCCGGGAAGATCCCACATGCCGCGGGGGGGCTGGGCCCGTGAGCCATGGCCGCTGAGCCTGTGCGTCCGGAGCCTGTGCTCTGCAACAGGAGAGGCCACAGTTGAAGCTGAGTGTGAGACATTTGGAACTCTACTGGTTAGTCAACACTCCCCTCCTTAGCCAGCCAACTTCCTCTTTCTGTCTTCCAAATAGACATACACTTCTCTCCTTGGTTACCATCCATCAGGCCTTGAGGTAGCTCCAGGAGTACAATTTAAAAAACATAGGATTATTTCTTTAAATCTTTTCACTAATTGATTCTGAGTAATGGCTATTCTACTCATCATGTACATTAGAAAACCAAGGCTTAGAGAATTTAATTTGTTATTCTTGATAGGAATGCATTTATCAGAATGAAGATGACAGAATAAATTATTTTAATAAGATTAATTATCTTATTAAATATATTATTCTTATATCTTTAGGGACATTTGATCTTTTGAAATAGGAATGGTTCAAAGAACATGGATTAAATTTTCTAGGTTTTGTACCAGTTATTTTCTGACTGATGATAAATGAACTAAACACTATCTTAGACTTAAAAGAAGTTTGGTTTTTTTTGTTTTGTTACTGAAATCAAAAGTATCCTCATTAGAAAGTGAAACAAAGATACATTATTGAAGAGTTTATCTCCCAAAATGGGTGGTCTTTGAAGATACATTATTGAAGAGTTTATCTCCCAAAATGGGTGGTCTTTATCTCTCTCCCTTGTATGTGTGTGTTCAATTTAATTAAATCTTAAAATCTTTTAAAAAATAATTTCATTTTGAGTTAAAGTTTTAACCATGAGCAAAATTTTATTCAGAAAATGATACATTTGAATAAACAACTGAGTTTTAACATTTCTGGTGGCATTCAACATTAATATCTGTGACTGTAAAGACAAAAAGAATTTGGGGCTTCCCTGGTGGCACAGTGGTTGAGAGTCCGCCTGCCGATGCAGGGGACATGGGTTCGTGCTCCGGTCCGGGAAGATAAAAAAGACAAAAAGAATTTAAAGTACAAATACTGCTAGGAATTAAAGGTTACAGTTGAACTTTAAATATTTACTTGATTCTTTAGCTTTAAGACCTAAACAAGCCATAAACAATGATATTAAATGCATAACTTTGAAATTTTCTGTAGGTAAAATCTTTTGTTTTATAACTGATTCAAGTCCTCCTAGAGACAAAGTTTGTATGTATGTATATGTGTTTTTTTATAATAATTTCTGTGTAGATGTCTGTAGAGTTATAAGTTGTAGCAAAGTAAAACCTTTCTTCAGAAGTTAAAAACTACTCACTACATTCAATTTTATAAATATGTAAAAATATGTAAATATATATCAGAATGATGCCAGTTGAGCATAATGGTTAATTGTCTGTGGTAGGTAAGGAGAGAAATATGATCAGGGAGGGATCAGGATGGCAGGTATACAGTGCACTTATTCATTATATGTTACATGTACTTCATGTGTGTGTGTTTTTTTGTTTGTTTTTTTAGCCACACCATGTGGCATGCAGGAATCTTAGTTCCCTGACCAGGGATTGAACCCGTGCCCCCTGCACTGGGGGTGCAGAGTCTTAACCACTGGACCACCAGGGACGTCCCTCATGTGTGTTTTTTGAATGTAGGAAATAACTTTTTCTTTTAAAAGACAACTTTAGTATTTTAATTAACATACTCTTTCAACAGCAAGATTCCATGAGTTTTTTAAATTGCTGTTTCATTGTTATATGTGTTCTGAATCAGGCTTACATTTTACATGGTTAAGATCCAAATGCCAGCTTATAAATTGCCTGAAACATATACTCAAAAGTATATCACTAAGAGTATACAGAACAGGTTACAAAATTGCAATTTTAAGAAACAAGAGTTAATGAAACTGAATATGTAGAATATATGCAAATTTTTAATGCCTTGAATTTACTTCAAGGCATGTTTTCTATATTATAGTTTTCCTGTGGAAATTTAGATATTAACTTGTTGAGATGATCACATATTTCTTTTGTTAACTTAATTATTTTGGTTAGTTGTTCTTCTTTGCACAGACTTGCCCCTAGTAAAAACTAGAAGAAAGCCTTGTTTTTTAGACTGAAACATATGAAAAAAGATTCTGGGATATTTTAAAATAAAGTATAGCTCACCTTAGCCTGTACTTTTCATTTATTAGAGGTGTTTTTTGTCTACCCTGACCATGCTGCAGTAGGGAACTTAGTCTGATTCTCACACACATGGCTCTATCGTTTCTATATTAAAAGATTTTATAATTTTATAATGTAAATGAAGACAAATTTCAAAGCCCCAAACAAATTATGTATACTCTGTAATTTGGGGTTATCTTTGCCACCGTTCCTCAGTATTTGCATAATAATAGCTGGCTGAGATCATACATCAGTATGTTTAACAACAACTATAACCATTTATTCAGCATCTGTTTTTTGCACAGTACTTTTACAAGCTACAAATAGAAAAGAAATAGAAAGTGTGCCCTAAACTCAAGGAACTTACATTGCATCTAGTTTTTTATACTTAAAGTCATAGAACCAATGATTTTCCTTGTAGTGTTTTACCTTCTTTCTTTCTGACCGTCATTGCTGACTTCTTATATTTAAGGTCTCTTTATCTCCCTTGGCCAGCTTTGGAATCAAAATGCAAATACCTCTTCACCTTGTCTACTGTGTCCTTTAAGTCATCGCAGAGTTACTTTAGTTTCTTAGCATATACAGCTAATCTTCTAAAGCTATTTTAACTTCAGGGTTAAGGAAAAGCACTCTTTTATTGTGTCTTATTTGCAGGTGTTAGTGATAGAACAGAAGAATGAAGACGGAACATGGCCAAGGGGTCCTTCTACTCCTAAGTAAGTGCTCCCACTTTTTATGGCTCAGTGCATGATGTTGAAGCTTTGATTTCAGATAATAAAATCCAGAATGATAGAAGAACCTAATTGTATATTGCAATTGTAAATATATATGACTTCTTTATATTTTAATATTTTATTCTCGTATAGAAGTTATCTAAGTTTGCACTTAAATGAATATGCTGTAATTTAAAAGCCTTCCAATTCTAATCTCTTTTAGAATAAGGTACAGTATAAATACGTTATAAATGTAATGGTGCATTGTCTAATACAATCAAATCACTATTAAACATTTTGTTTAATATTTTTCAAGCATTTTGTGGTATTTTTAAAAGTGTCTGTTAAAAGAATGCTCTTTATGAAAATGAATCTGATGTGAAAGCAACATAATTTAAATCTAATCATGAAAGCAATATTTTATTTATTTAGATACGTGTTTTAGAATATAACAGCACAAGTAGAGATAAAGGAGTATAAGAATTGCTTTTGATGGTAAATGAGTGATTAGAAACCTTTTTAACTTTTTTTTTAATTGTGGTAAGAAAACATAACTTGATATCTGCCCTGTTAACAAAGTTTTAAATGTGTGCACTTACAGTATTGTTAACTGTAGGCACATTGTTGTACAGCAAATCTCTAGAATTTATTCATCTTGTATAACAAACTTTATTCCTGTTGAAGAGTAATTCCTCACTTCTCCCTTCCCGCAGCCCCTGGGAACCACCGTTCTACTCTCTGTGCCTATGAGTTTGACTAGTTTACATAGCCTCATATAAGTGGAATCATACAGTGTGTATTTGTCTGTGATTGGCTTACTTTACCAGGCATACTGTCCCTTAGGTTCATCAGTGTTATCACATGTGGCATGATTCCCTTGCTTTTTTAAGGCTGAATAAAATTCCATTGTATGTATATACCATATTTTCTTTATCCATTTATCTGTCAGTAGACATTTAGGTTGTTTTCATTATCTGGGCTATTGTAAATTATACTGCAGTGAACTTGGGAGTGCAGATGTCTCTTCAAGATACTGATTTCATTTCCTTTGGATATATACCCAGAAATGAGATTTCTGAATCATGTGCTAGTTCTATTTCTAATTTTTTGAGGAACTTCCGTACTGTTTTTCATAGCAGCTGCACCATCTTACATTTCCACCGACAGTATGCAAGGGTTCCAATTTCCCCACATTCTTGCTAGTACTTATTATCTTTTGTTCTTTTGATAATAGGCATCCTAACAGGTGTGAGGTGGTATCTCATTGTGGTTTGATTTGCATTTCCACAATGATTTCTGATGTTGAACATCTTTTTAATATACCTATTACCTGTCTGTATGCCTTCTTTAGAGAAGTGTCTATTCAAAGAAGTCTCAGGCCCATTTTTTAATCTGGTTATTTGGGGGCTTTGCTGTTGAATTGTAATGAGTTTCTTATATATTTGGATATTAACCCCTTACCAGATACGTGGTTTAAAGATTTAAAAATAAAACCTGATACGGGGAGGGGGAAGGGTAAGCTGGGACAAAGTGAGAGAGTAGCATGGACATATATACACTACCAAATGTAAAACAGATAGCTAGTGGGAAGCAGCTGCATAGCACAGGGAGATCAACTCGGTGCTTTGTGACCACCTAGAGGGGTGGGATGGGGGGGGTGGGATAGGGAGGGTGGGAGTGAGGGAGATGCAAGAGGGAAGAGATATGTGGACATATGTATATGTATAACTGATTCACCCTGTTATAAAGCAGAAACTAACACACCATTGTAAAGCAATTATACTCCCAATAAAGATGTTAAAAAAAAAAACAAACCTGAATCTGTACATCTAGAAGATATCTTAGGGGGAGAACTTCATGACATTGGTCTAGGCAGTGATTTCATGAATATGACACCAGAAGCACAAGCAACAAAAGCAATTATAGACAAAAGGGACTACATCAGACTAAAAAGTTTCCGCACAGTAAAGGAAGCAATCAGAGTGAAAAGGCAACATACCAAATGGGAGGAAATATTTTTAAGGGTTTTAGGATTATCAGAAACACTTAGGGCTAGTTGTATTTCAATATTTGGACTTTCTAAACCTCTGAGAAGTAATATGGTACATGTGCCACCTATTATTTTACTATTTTTGTAGAGTCCAGGGGGACTCTTATAGTTAAGCACATTAATATTCAGTAAGTATCCACACTAAGTAAGATAAAGAAGGAGTGTAAATAGCATCATTTCAGTTCAGGTTAGATTGCCCTGAAGTGAATTATGAAAAATTTTTTAAGTTTTCAGAAACTTTGGAATTTCAGATTTTCTGATAAGAGGTTGTGAATTTGTGTTTTGAAACCTTAAAATAATGATTCTTAAGTAAATAAATAAATAATTTAGTAATTGCTAACCTAGCTAATAAACTAAATTGCCAAGTGATAGTTCATTAGAATACAAAAAAAATTTTTAATCAGTATCTAGTGTATGAAAAGACTCTCAGAAAACTAAGAATAAAAGGGAATTCTCCTAACTTGTTAAAGCCTGTAAACCCAAAACCTGTAGCAAACATTTAATTGAGAAATTTTGAACACAAACCAAATAAGATTAGAATTTTACAAAGAAATAAAATTCACTATTTACATACGATGCAATCAACATAAAATCCAAAAACAATCAGCAGACTACTAGAACTAAGAGAATTCAGCAACATTTTCTAATACAAGATTAATTTGTAAAAATTAATAGGGTTTTCCATATCCATAGGTCAGCATTCTTTTTTATGAAGAACCAGATAAGTATTTTTAGCTTTATGGGCCATAGCGTCTCTGACTCAACTATAACTACTGATATAGCAGTAAGCACTGTGTAAACAAATGCGTGTGGCTGCATTCCAGTAAAACTTTATTTAAAAAAACGGATTTGTCTTGTGAGCCATAGATTCCTGACCCTGCTATATAACATTAGTAACCCACTTAGAAAATAGCATAACAAAAAATAACTTAATTAGGAATGCATAAAACCTTTATGGAAAAAAATTCTAACTTCATTAAAGACAAAAGATTATTGTGTACTATATGGCTTAACCTAGCCTGTTTCTCTAAATTTATCATGTCAGTGCCTCCTATTCAGAATTCTATCCTGGGGCTTCCCTAATGGTGCAGTGGTTAAGAATCTCCCTGCCAATGCAGGGGACACAGGTTCGAGCTCTCATCCAGGAAGATCCCACGTGCCGCGGAGCAGCTAAGCCTGTGCACCACAACTACTGAATCTGCGCTCTAGAGCCTGCGAGCCACAGCTACTGAGCCCACGTGCCACAACTACTGAAGCCCTCACTGCCTAGAGCCTGTGCTCCTCAACGAGAGAAGCCACTGCAGTGAGAAGCCTGCGCACCGCAACGAAGAGTAGCCCCCGCTCGCCACAGCTACAGAAAGCCTGCACGCAGCAACGAAGACCCATAGCAGCCAAAAAGAAATAAAATAAATTTTAAAAAACAGAAACAAAATTCTATCCTGACCGTTTTTTTCACTCTGTTTGTGTGTGTGAGAAACTTCAGAAACTCATTCTAAAATTAACATATTCCAATAAAGATCCAGGATTAGCTAAGTCAGTTTTGACAAAGAGGAGGAAGGGAAGTGTTTACCTACTAGATAGTAAGAATTACTGCAAAGCTATGGTAATAAAAACACTATGACACTAGCAAAAGAAAGGCAGATAGACTGGAATAAACTAGTGAGCTAAGAAAAACTCCTGTATGTATGGTAAGTGGCACTGCTCGGCAGTGAAAAACAGGTTGCTTAAAGCAGATAGGTGCTTAGATTTTATTAGGAGTACTAACTATTTGGAGAAAAGAAAGCAGAATCACTGCCTTATACATTATATACAAAGACTCCAGAAGGACTAAAGACTCAAATAAGAAATGTAAAGCTTTAAAGCTAATAAGATATTTTGGAAAATATCTGTGACTTATTGATCACAGAACATAGTGTGAAAATTAATGTTTGATTGCATTAAATTAAGTATTTCTGTTAAAGGAACCATATACAAAGTTAAAAGTCAAATGTCGGCTTTAGAAAATCTAAAACCTACAAGAGAATAATACCCACAGTGTACAAAGAACTGCTGTGAATTAACAGAAACAAAGCAAACAAGCTTTTAAAAAATAAAAGATGTAAATAGTTTAAAGAAGGGGAAGCCCAAGTGCTGACAGGTAGCTGAGGAGATACACAAACTCACTAGTAATCAGAAAAATTAAAGCATGAGATACAATCTAATAGCCAACAGAATGACAAAAACTTAAAAGGATGCTAATAAAAAGTGTTTGGAGGGTTGTAGGAGAAGTCTTATGTACTGATGGTGGGAGTACAAACTAGTACCATGCTGTATATCAGTGTTTAATTAAATCAGGAATGCTTAATCCCTCTGACGCATCACTCAGCGGAATTTTTCACACAGATCCCTGAATAGACAATCTTTGTAGCTGTGTTGTTTGTGGTAGTGGGGATTTGAAGACAGCCTAGCTAAGTATCTATCTCTGGTAGAGTGAATAAGAAAAATGATGGTGATATACTGTGGAATGCCAGTGCAGCAGATAGAAGTAACAGTGGTGAGATCTTTGAAACTGGATAAACTTTAAAACATAGAGTTGAGAGAAAAAATAAAAACAAAATGAGATTTCACTCAGTACCATTTAGGTAAACTTAGAACATACTGTGTAAAATTATAATATTCAAGAACATTGAGAAAACACCTGTAGTGGAGGAAAATAGTACAGATAAAAAAGGTGAGGAATTGGGCTTCCCTGGTGGCGCAGTGATTGAGAGTCCGCCTGCTGATGCAGGGGACACGGGTTTGTGCCCCAGTCCGGGAAGATCCCACATGTCGTGGAGCGGCTGGGCCTGTGAGCCATGGCCGCTGAGCCTGCGCGTCCGGAGCCTGTGCTTGGCAACGACAGAGGGCACAACAGTGAGAGGCCTGCGTACAGCAAAAAAAAAAGAGGAATTAACATTTATTTATATGTGTATAA